GTTCGACCTTATGTGAGTATCTTAACTCTCAAGTCTCACCTATATGCCATTCATCAACGTTAAGCATTGTTATTTCCTGTTATCATGGTGCATGTTTTTATGTTGCATGCATAATAATGATTGTTTCCATCTCTCATAGGATTCACATTCAAATGGCTCTCATCCTCCTGCAAGTTCAAGATATCCTAATTCTTCAAATAATGGTGGTATGTGAATGATATTATTAAGTTACTCGTGTCATTTTAGTAACTTCTTTGGTTATTGCACAACCAAAACTTATATACAAGTATAAAAGTAGTCACAGATTGAAGAAGCTCACTTTAAACACTATGCTGATAAGTATATTCAATGTATTCCTTGAAATCATTTTAAGGTGATTTCGGCCATTCAAATCTGAATCATCTATGTTTTTGCTTCATGAAGTTACTTACACTTCTGAGAGGTTTGATGGTGCTAATGGTGAACCAGCTCAGAGATGTAAAGCTAGGTTGGAAAGGCATCAGAGGACAACAGAACGAGCAGTGTGTTTCCAGCTCTCTTTTCTCTTTTCCCTCAACCTCATCCCACATCATCTCTATGAATTGGGAGATGGGATATGTATTTCCATACATTTCACAAGCTTTGTTGACAACATTTTTTCCTTCTTTTTTATTTTCCTTTTTGGTATTTTACAGGCAAAAGCTCTTGCGGAGAAGAATATGCGTGATCTTATTGCACAGAAAGAGCAGGCTGAGAGAGATGTAATGATATATTCTAATTAGTTTTGAATTGAAAAAGCTTGTGCAACTACTAAAAGGCTTGAGTTTTTGTCTAACTGTTTTCAAATTAATTTTAATGGCAGAGATTAGCGGAAACTCTTGATGCTGAAGTCAAAAGGTGGTCAAAAGGAAAGGAGGGAAAATTGCGTGCGTTACTGTCCACTTTGCAATATGTATGTAAAGTTTTCTGCTTGCATTTCATCAAGTACTTGTTTCTATGAGTCATTCTGGTTCAACACGTCTTTTTAGGACAGCATAATATTTAGATACCTGGACTCTGGATTGCCTGAGAGAGATAATGAAAGAATTCTTGGCTTTGAAAACTTTACAGCCTAAATATATAAAATTCTGTTTAACTGTCTTGCTTTGATCTCCTGAGGTGCAATGCATGCTCTTATTAGATGTCAGCAGCAGAATTCCCAAAATGAACCCCTTTTACTTTAACCCTGTGCAGATGACCTAAGATGGGCATGCCTATTTTTTCCTTCTTTGATTATAAATTGATCAAATGACATCATTACCTGCTGCAATCAAATTTGTACCTTGTACGCTTGTTTATTTTATTTGGTAAAAGGATAAAACAGATAGAATGCAATAAATGGTTGATGGAAAGTTTAATGCTGCTAGTTTATTTTATTATTACATGTGATTCCATGCTGAATATCTCAGGGTGAGTTGTTTTTATTTCATTTGACTCATGCAATACTCTTCAGATGCTGGCAATACAGTTTTCCACATGTCAGCCTCGTTTTTAAATGCCATTTGATTTCTGGTAGATTTTCAGATGATGGTTTAACTATATGTTTTATGCTCACCAGCCTTGGTCTTTAACTGTTGCTTGAATGCTGGCAGATTCTTGGACCAGAAAGTGGTTGGCAGCCAATTCCTCTTACAGATCTTATAGCAACTGCTGCTGTAAAGAAAGCCTACCGAAAAGCCACTCTCTTTGTTCATCCTGACAAATTACAGCAACGAGGTGCCAGTATACAGCAAAAGTACACATGCGAGAAGGTTTTTGATCTTCTAAAGGTCTGTAGCCCTCCCTCCCTCCTCTTTCCATTGATTTACATGGAATTATTTCATATATAACATGGGAGATGAAAACTAGCCTACTTCCAATGTTGCTTCACTGTCTCAACAGCTAAAAATATATAGATCATTTTCATTTTTTGGTCTCTCATCCTTTCTCTCCAATGACCAACCTGCTTTGAGACATTTTCTACTATCTTTATCATACGCTGACCTGAACACTACTCCATGATTAATTAATGGCACATTTCTCAGTTTCTTTTTACTTCTGTCTCCAGGCAGCTTGGAACAAATTCAATGCAGAGGAAAGGTAGACATTGTCACATGGGCTATTTCCAGTTTTCCACTCTCTGGATGTCTCAGTAATCATGTCTTCTGTAATTTATGAGTTTCCAAAAAGCAAGGAATTCTTTTTACCCACTCACACGGCTACAGAACGCAAGCAGTGATACAATGTAGCACTGATGGAAACTATTTTTATGAGGGGAAGGTATGTAAAATCCCAATTCAGTATTGGCACCGTGTCCCTGACCCTGACACAGATCATTTACAGATGCAGTAACTCCCACCATATGTATTATAAGAGTTAACGGTAATGGAAAGAGGTTGCTGATCCCAGTTAAGCTTTAACAAAACATTATCAACAATGCACGTTATTCCTCCTTTCAGCAAAACTACAGACTAAGATTGGAAAAGTTTAACCAAGACTTCGGTTGAGAACACCTTTGGATACCTCAACTTTTGGTTTTTATGTATTTTGTATTTAATAATATAAAATATGTTAATTAAAATTATTATTAAATTATTAAATATATTTAATAAGTAAATATTTATTTATACATTAATTTTACACATTATATTTATACAAAATTTTAATAATTTATTTTATATATTTAAATGATTAAGGTTTATTACGATTTTTTAGATAAAAAAATAATTATCTTTAATAAGCAATGATAAATTTTAACTATTAAAAATAAAAAATTAAATGATTTAAATTTTATGTAAGTACAGTATATAAAATATGTGTAACTAAATTTTTACTCATATTTTATATATTTTTAAGATCTTAAAAAACTTTAAAAGTTACAAGTAGAGTTATAAGTTAGCGTAATCAAACTAGACCTAAGTCCATTAGAGCAGCAGCCGAAATTTCAGTTTTTATTTCATGACTCTGATATATACTACCAACATCCTTGCTCAAAAAGAAATAGGAAGCAGTCAGCAATCCCTTTGGACGACATGTTTCAATGGCTCTTGTGTACATGTTGACTTCGTCTAGGCTTTATATATAATCGAACCCCAGGTTCTGGAGCTCTTCAGAACAGAACAGAGCAGAACAGAATGCCCTCCACATTCTCATCCACACGGTTGAACCTGAGGTAAGAAATCAATTGCATGTAACAGAACAGGGAACTGGTAGAACTGTGATCAGAGGTTTTGGGTAATATCGAGACTTTGTAGATGAATTTTGTACTCAGGGTGTTTTTCTAAGAGAAAATCTGCTAGTTCCACAAAGGCAGCATGATGCGATGCAAACAGCAAAATTAGTGTTATTCTGCATAACGATGCACCAACAGGAATATACAAGTTCTGCAGAAATCATCCAGATGCACAACATTGACACGCTTTAATAATCGAGTAACAGGCTTTATTTTCTGTACGGTTAAGATCATTTGAAATAAAATTACCAGGTGCTCTGAAAGAACAGAGTGAGAATTCATGGACAGTGATCACTACTGCACCCGCAGTGGTGATCAGAGAAAGTCCAGTAATGACACTCGGCAGCATTAAAAAAATTCAGAAAAGATCAAATGCTGATATAATGCAAATAATCAAGTATTGTGCTAAGAAGATGTTGATACAATGTACATTTAACCAAAACACTATAGGTTTCCACATTCATCTCAACTTACAAAAGTTAACCGAAATCTATCGACTCTGAAATAAGAGTTGCAAACATATCCAAAATGCTAATTATTTGAATACTGAAGTACCAAAAATTAGGATATTGTAGGACGCTGGTGTAATCATAAGCCAAGTAGATGAAGCATTATGGCATTCTGAGCGTGCATGCGGTTTCCAGCTTGTGGGAAGACAATGGAGTTTGGAGCCTCAATAACACCATCAGTCACCTCTACTCCTCTTTCTGCTGGCAAACAATGCATGAAATAAGCTTTTGGGCCAGCTAACTTCATGAGAGTTTCATCCACCTGCAATTGCATGCAAAAGATTGAGGGTAGAAACTAATAATCAGGGTTTGAGCAACAAAGAAAGAATTTAACAACTGGAAGACATCATGGTAGATCCAAGATTGGGGATGCCACAACCACGAAGCTCAATATTGCTGGATGCAGCTCAAGCACCATACCAGATCCAACCCAACAACACACACACACACACACAAGGGTTAAATTGGGCAACCATCCCAGCAGATATAACATATGAAACTTGAAAAAAAAATGTTTTTGCTTTAGGATGCATTTGGAATTACTATAAGATGCTGTGACTGTAGTTGTAGCTATAACTATAGTTGAAAGTTATTTTGGTGTTTGGCTATTTATTTCTTAAAAGTATTACGGAAGATATATGATAAATTTTATTAATTATTAATTAAAATTTAAAAAATATTTTATAATGTATAATTACTAAAATAGATAACATTTATTACTTCTTAATAATTTAGATTTTTTATGATAGCTGTTTTTTTGGGTTTTGTAGGAGAGCAACTCATGAGGAGGAAATGAGTTTAATTTTTTATGAAATTTCAAATAAACTATAGGTTAGGTTTAAATAAAACATTATAAATTATGATGTAACTGAATTAAATGATGTTGGGTTTTAATAGATAATTTTGTAATTGTATTAAATATTAGGCATTGTCCGTGAAAGCCATAGTCAGAAAGCTTCAAAATGAGGCTTCTGGCTATATATATAAAATTGCCATAGATTTATTGTCACTTTCTGCAATTTTTGGAAAAAGTAATTCGAAAAAAAATTACCAAACACATATATATCTAAAAGCACCATACAGCTATAGGAAAAAACTCCCAACTGTAATTCCAAACGCACCCTTAGTCTATTTCAAAGGTCTACGAATTGAGAAGTATGCAAAATTCTTAAGGACTAGCTTTGCCTAATCTGGAATTAATTCCAAATATATGAAGATAAATAGATGTAGTATTGCCATCACTTACTGAGGATATCAATATATAAGAGGAGAGAGTTCACTTAAACACACCTGAAATCCTTGAAACACTTGACGGCGATATGCAGCCTCTTCCTTTTGGCCCATGCTAGCCCACACATCTGAGTAAACAACATCAGCTCCTCTGACTGCTTCTTTTGGATCATTTGTGATCTCAATCTTGCTAATACCAGCGTCCTGTGCCTTCTTCACTGTCTCTTTGTCTGGTTCAAAACCTTTAGGGCAGGCACAGACAAAGTGGAAAGGAATAACTGATGCCAACAACAACCAGGAATGGACAATGTTATTTCCATCTCCAACATAGACAACCTGAAAATTGTATTGGCATTAATAGGGAGTTAGCTTTAACAACAATATAGTGTACCAAGGGCAAAGCAAGAAACAGACAACTAACTGCACACTGACATAACAAGCAAAAGAAAACAATATGAAAACTAGCTGCAACTGAACCAACCTTGGTTCCTTCCAAATGACCAATGTGTTCAATAATTGTGAGGGCGTCAGCCATTATTTGACAAGGGTGGTTGTAGTCTGTCAAGCCATTAACAACAGGTACAGTTGAATATTTAGCCAGATCAAGAATGTCCTGCAATGTAGAACATAAAACAAGTGCACGTTTAATTACAAATTTCATACCAAATTACCGAACTGAAGTCTTGCACTCTTGCAGAATATTAGTGTCTTTGCTAACGTAAAAGTAGTTTCTTGAAAAGAATATTTCAATAGAATGTGCACAAAAAAGAGAAACGGAAAAGAAGAGTGAGCGATTAAAGATTCAGTGATCTGAAAGATATGTTTACACTTTACAAATTCAAAAAAACAGTCAGAGTTGTATCCATAATCCATTTCTTGACTGGTTGTAAACATAATTAATAATACCAATGTCTATATGGACCACACTTCCTAGGAAATGGTGCAAAAAGCATTGCTATCTGATAAAATTACTTGTAAACATAAGAAGCTCACCATCATACCTGATGACCAAAGACCCTTGCCATGATAATGTCATTGTAGCAAGATAAAACTCGGGCTACATCTCGAGTCTCCTCCCTCTTACCCATCTGGATATCATCAGGTCCTAAATAGATAGCATGGCCTCCAAGTAAGGAAAACCCCGTTTCAAATGAAACCCTTGTCCTCATAGAGGGCTTTGCAAAGATCATTGCCATTGTCTTCCCTTTAAAAGGAAGAAATGTCCTGTCTCCTGATTTTAGAAGTGCTTTAACCTCTGCAGCCCTATCTAATATCTTCATTATTGTGGCTTTGTCAAAGTCATCAATGTGCAGAAAATCCTTCATCTCTGATTTTGCTGTAAAATAACAAAGTCCAAGAAACTATATTAGAGTTTATCGAGGAGAATAGCCAGAAACAACATTTAAGCAAATTACCTAAAATCCCTTTTGAGTATTTGCTGCATTATGGCCTGGAATTTTTCAGTGAAAGCAATTTGGGGATTGAAAACAAGTTAACAAATTTTTTACGCATTCCAGCTAAAAATCAATAAAATCCTTTAAAGGCATTCAAGATAAATGTTAAATCACTATGATGGATAAACGTTTAAAAAGTGTACTCCACAACCAATTAATCATAAACCCTGAAAATTTAACACCAGCATTTATGTATCGGATGAAATTCCATCCTCAGAAAAGATCGAGCAACATTTCTACTAAGCCAGAGCACCCAAACTCTAAACCCCACGAAGAAATTCATAATAACAGAACTTCACGTTCAGGCTAACATTTCGCTATCCTAAATCAAAATGGGGAAAAGATTAACAAATATCAAAGGGTAAACATTCAACTTTACCACTGACGGAAGACGAAAGTGACGTAGCTGAAGATGCCTGGCAGGAGATGCTTCGACGGATAACAGGAAATCTAGGAGAAGAAGCCACCGGAAGACGAGGAAATCGGATACTGGCACCGGAGAAGGAGGTAGAAGGGGCTGAGAGAGGAATTTTCTCTGACCGGAAACCGCAGTGGGAACCGATCGCGGCCATCGTTTTCAGTAGGAGCAGCTGAGGATGAGTGCAAGTCACTATCTTAATAAGGTGAATTATGACAAATGGAATGGGTTTTTTAAAGGGATTAGTTTGACGTGAATGCCCCTGTTCTTCTTCGGAAACGATTTTCTTTTTCTTTTTAACATCATATGATTTGCTTTACAGATAGCTCTCCTCCCTAAAATTAAAATTTTTTTTATCTTAATTGTACAAATGAGAGTTAATTATTGAAATTAAATTTTTTTATTTTTATTAAAAAAAATTAGTAAACTATTTAAGTAATTAACCACTATATCTAAAATTAAAACTTGAAATTTAAAACTTAATACACTTAATTTCTTAACTAATAAAAAAGTTACAACATTATAAACTTACAATATTATTAAAGGGATAGTGTTTATCTATCTTAACTTTTAAATATTAAAAAAAAATCATCTCAAAATTATATTATTTTAATAAAATATTATAATAAAAAATAAAAAATACTTTAATTCACATTTTAAAAAAGAATATTTTAATTTTTTTAATAAAAATTTATTAAAATAATATAATTTTAAAACAAATTTTTATGAAATAAGACAGATGAATATTATTTTCTACTATTAATATGCCAAACAAAAAAATGTCCTTATATTATAGAAACTTTATTTTATAATTCATATTATACTAAATTATAAAATAATAGCAATTAAAACAAGAAGGGACCCTTAGACTCATAAAATCTACTCTTATTCAATAATTAATGGAATGTAGACACAATCTAAATTATATTATATATTATTATTATATTATTGCATTTTTTTATTTAAAATCAACTGATAATATTATATCTCTTGCAATAATGATGCATAAAAATCGTAAGTTTAGAATATTAGGCTTTCGAAATGCCCAGTGACTTTTTCAGTTGAGCTACAGTCGACTCAAGAAGGTAGCATTTCATTTTTCCGTGGGCTATTACCGTGGTCAGGCTATATCAGAAGCCCGTCCAAAGGTCCAATGTTCAGTATAGTGGTATTTTTCATTTATTTGGGCTGTGTACAGATAAAAATTTGGGCCCGCAGATTTGATGTGTCGGACTTTAAAACCAGACGATTAGTACAGAAGCCCACGGCATATATCTTTGTTTTTTCCCTTTTTATAAGGTTTCGTTTAATAATATTTTTTAGTATTTTATTTTTTAAATTTTAAATATTTTTATTATTTTAAAAATATATAAAATATATTTTATGTATTTTAAGATGTTAAATGATCAAAAAAACCTACAATTATAATTATAAATTACCCTTATCTAATTACATAGTCAAATTAAGCCTAAGTTAGACAATTTTAGCACTTTATACAAAATTATTAGTAGTTGCTCTTTTTTATTTTTTTTATTGATTTTATATTGCATAATGAAAAATAATTCTTTCTCATATCTTAACCTACTCCCATATTATGAGACTTAAACTTATAACCTTTTAATTACTTCTATTGAAAATAAATTATCTTTAAATTATTTAAATTTTTGGTATTAATACTAAGGATGTCAACAGGTCCTCTGGGGTTGGGGAGTCCCTCCCCGTCCCCATCCTTGCAAATAGCAGAGACGGGGATCCCCACAGGGATTTTTAACGGGGGCAGATTTTTTCCCCCATCCCTATTTCCCACCAATTAATATCAAAATATACATTTTTACATCAAATATAAATAAAGATTAATTTCACATAAATAGTTAAATCAACAAATTTGTTTCAAACATAAATAAAGATTAATCCAACATAAATAGCTAAAACAACATACTTGTCCCAAACATAAGCAAAAATCAATCCAACATAAATAAAGTAACTAAACTAATATCCAACATGAAGGGAGGCAGCCAACTCAGAACACCTTAGCTGTCAAAATCCATATTTGCTCATAAAAAAAACCTACAATACAATTAGTAAATATTTCATGTTTAACATATTTATATAAAAACTATTTATATTATTAGTATAAAAAAAAATCATGTATATTTTACCTCTGATTAATTTTCTTCATCACAATCCACATTCTCATTTTGAGTAAAGAAACATATATCATTTAAAGAACCTATACAGCAATAGTGTGTAACAGTCCACTCCAGTAGCAATGTGGCTTCAACAACAACTCCAGCAACAAATCAGTAGCAGTAGAAGCCAGAAGCAGAAGGGAAGGTCGAAGGTGAGAGTTCGACTATCTGAGAGTAAGTAAGGAGAAATTAGGGTTAAGAGGAGGAGGTTGATGGGTTGGATTTTGTACTGCCGACTACAGAAGAAAGAAGGGGAGGGGAAGGTCGAAGGTGAGAGACGTCTGACTGTCCGAAAGGCAAGAGTGAGTGAGGTATTAAGGTGTGAGGGAGGAGAAATTTGGGTTAAAAGGGGGATGATGGGTTGGATTTTGTATTGTCGATTGTAGAAGCAAGAAAGGGAGGGGAAGGTCGAAGGTGAGAGGCGTCTGACTGTTCGAGAGGCGAGAGTGAATGAGGTACTAAGGTGTGAGTAAGGAGAAATTAGGGTTAAAACTTAAAAGGAGGATGATGGGTTAGGTTGAGTTGAGTTGAGTTGGGTTGGGTTGGGTTGGGTAAAGTTGAATTTTTATTGAATTGGGTTTGGGTTTGGGTTTGATTTTGAAAGTTGAATTAAATTTAAAATAAAATTAATTTATCTAATTTTTTAATTTTTTGCGAGGATGGGCATCCTCACAAGGTGGGGAAAAATTCCTCACGAAATTTTGCAAGGAGAAAATGCTCTTCATCCTCGTCCCACGGGGAGAAATATTCCTCCTTGCCCTGTCCTCGTGGCAAGGATCTCTGTGAGGATTGAGGCAAATTGTCACCCTTAAACAACACCTCATCTAAATATGGTAATCTCATGCTCACCAAATTATTTCTGCATGTAAGTGGTAGTTAAAGTAGGTACCCTTAAACTTTTGAAAAATGTCAAATATAATACATATATTGTTTTACAAAATTTTATTTTTAAAGTTTGAATTATGGGAATCATTCAAATATATAAATAAAGGGAAATGTTTGGTACACCTTTCAGTTCAATACCCGATTCAATACCTAGTTCAACACCTTTTGGTTTAATCATTAAAAATATAATATAAATACAATCAATTCAGTCGATTCTTGTATCCTATATGCATGATTGTATCATTATATTTGTTTGTTTTTAATTTCAGACTAAAAAATAGTGATTTTTTAATGATAAAACCGAAAGGTGTTGAATCGGGTGTTGAAATATAAGGTATACCAATCACTGTCTATAAATAAAATATATATAACTTAGATAAATGGATCATCTCTATATTTGTGACTAATTTAGGTAAGAGCAAATATAAAAATTTGGTAAGATTTGGTTATATTTACATAATTTTTATAAGTTTTAATGTTAGTTATATATAATTT